CTTCTGGAGCAGGTCCAAGAAGAGGTTGTGAGTAAAAAAAAGTCTGTTGCTGCTTATTGTTCTGGTTCTGACTGTTATTGTAGCATTGAGCATGCATCAGGATACTGTTATTGTATTTATTAAGATTTTCATTATTGTTAGTATAGTTTAATTATTGTAAGAGTGCCGTTTATTTAAAATATCATCCAAATGGGTTGCTTTTATTTATTTTTATACACTGCCTGGCCAAAAAAAAGTCACCACCTGGATTTATCTAAGCAAATAGGTACGAGCCTCCTGTTGGATAATTACTGAATGGGTAATTATCTTTCAGCTGGCAACAAATTATTTAACCCCAACTGGTGCAATGAGTTGCTTCTCATTTCTTAAACAACCATGTCAAAGACACAATGCGTGGTCATGGAAAAGATGTCAGTCTGTTTGAGAAGGGTCAAATCATTGGCATCAAGCAGAGAAAACATCTGAGGAGGATGCAGAAACTACTAAAATTGTGTTAAGGACTGTCCAACACATTATTGAAAACTGGAAGGATAGTGGGGACCCATCGTCTTCGAGGAAGAAATGCGGCCAGAAAAATTCCTGAATGATCGTGATCGGCGATCACTTAAACGTTTGGTGAAATCAAATGGAAGAAAAACAACAGTAGCACTCAGGGCTAAATATAGACAAAAATATAGACATAAAAACAATGCAGATAATAAATATGACGACAAACCAGTGTGGAGCGTATGTACAGATTCAAAGATTGGACTCTGGAGCAATGGAAGAAGGTCATGTGGTCTGATGAGTCCAGAATGACCCTGTTCCAGAGTGATGGGCGCATCAGGGTAAGAAGAGAGGCAGGTGAAGTGATGCACACATCATGACTAGTGCACAATCATCAATGCAAGATCTTGGTGAAAAACTAATGCGATTTGAGAAGAAAGATTTTTGCTAAAGCTGGCTAAATAGTTTAATAACTGAGTTATTAAACCAAAACTAAGCAAAACATTAGGTAAAAGCTCAAAGTAGCAAAGCATCTTGAAGCTAAATTTTCATCCATCCATCCATTTTCTTCTGCTTATCTGGGGTCGAGTCGCGGGGGTAGCAGCTTAAGTAGGGAGGCCCAGACTTCCCTCTCCCCAGCCACTTGGTCCAGCTCCTCCGGGGGAATCCCGAGGCGTTCCCAGGCCAGCCGAGAAATATAGTCCCTCCAGCATGTCCTGGGTCTTCCTCTGGGTCTCCTCCCAGTGGGACGTGTCTGGAACACCTCACCAGGGAGGCATCCAGGAGGCATCCTAAACAGATGCCCGAGCCACCTCAACTGTCTCCTCTCAATGTGGAGAAGCAGCGTCTCTACTCTGAGTCCCTCCTGGATGATCGAGTTTCTCACCCTATCTCTAAGGGGGAGCCCAGACACCCTGCGGAGAAAACTCATTCCGTCCGCTTGTATCCGAGATCTCGTTCTTTCGGTCGCAACCCAAAGCTCATGACCATAGATGAGGGTGGGAACGTAGATCGATCGGTAAATTGAGAGCTTCGCCTTTTGACTCAGCTCTCTCTTCACCACGACAGACCTGTACAGCGCCTGCTTCACCACCGATACTGCACCTATCCGCCTACATTACGGCAAAGACTGGTTCATTCCAAAGATCCAGTCCCCCGGCACAAACAGAGTAATGTTGTGTATGCTGTTCAGTGTCAGGAGGGTGATCAGTCTTACATCGGGGAAACTAAACAGCCACTGGCCAAAAGGATGGCCCAGCACAGAAGATCAACATCATCAGGCCAGGACTCTGCGGTCTACACTCATCTCCAGGCCAGCGGTCACTCTTTCAGGGATGAAGATGTTCACATCCTGGACAGAGAGGAACGATGGTTTGAGAGAGGAGTAAAGGAGGCCATCTTTGTGAAAAGAAATTGTCCATCATTAAACAGGGGTGAAGGCCTCCGGGTTCAACTGTCCCCCTCTTACAATGCTGTGATTGCTAGTATCACTCAGCCCTCTGTGAATAGTAAACAGCCATCAGTGTGCTAATGATCCATTGTTAGGCTGATGGTCCTTCTTGAGCATGTGATCAGCTGGTTTTGGTTGTCAGCAGCAAAACTGGTTGATCCACTCTGAGAAGGAGCTATTTAAGAGACTGAGCTGAATACAGCACCTCAGACTGAGGAAGTCTCTCAGGTGAAAGACGAAACGTTTCTATATTTATTCTTTGTTTTATTTTTTGAATGTCCAGAGGACCAGATTTAACTTTTTTAGATTAATGATGTCCAGTTAACCATTGAATCATCAAATTATCAAATTTACATGTCTTTGTTGACTTTTAACTCTTATCTACTTAAACTGATGTCTGTTCTACATTTAATGTAGAACAGAAGTCTGTCTTATCCTGACGGTTTCAAACTGTTAACATTTATTTATCGTGATAGTAGTTTCTTTTTCTTTTGATAAATGTAAATGCTTATTGTCAATTACCCTGTGACGTGTGCTGATGACCACTTGACCAGGTCACCCTTGTGAAAGAGATCTCGATCTCAACGGGCTCTACCTGGTAAAATAAAGGTGATTGATTGATTGATTGATTGATTGAATACCGGGTGCAATGGTGGGTATGGTATTTACAGCCAGTTATGAATCTTAGTGCACCATGATAGACAGCATCCAGCATCTGCAGGGTGCTTGTAGGAGTGTTCATGTAAATAATGTCACCTTAGTCAATGGAGGGAAGGAAAGTCACAGTTACAAGGTGTTTCCTAGCATTCAGAGTTAGACAGGATCTGTTTCTGAAAAAGAAACCCAATTTACCTTTCAGTTTCTTTACTATGTTTTCCATGTGGAGCTTAAAAGAGAATTGTGAATCGACCAATATACACAAATATTTGTAGGAATCGTTGATTCCTACAAATATTTGCCCGTACTGAGTTTGTCGATTCGAAATCGACAAACTCAATAGGGACACTATTCGAGGATAAAATCAGAGGAAGAACTGCTGGGACCGGCTTCCTGTTTGAAAATATTCCTTTGGTTTTGTCTGTGTTCAGGACGTGTTTGAGACTGAACAAATCTGACTGGATGATGTCAAAAGCAGATTTAATTGAGGCAAGAGCCTAGCTAAAACCTAAATTTAGCAAATGGTTATCTGCAAGGTAACAGTAACCAATAGTAATATGAGGTTAGCTAGTAGCAACTAATTAAAACTTGTAAGTAGCAAAATGGTGGCTATGGCTAGTTAAATCCAAAAGTAGTTAAATGGTAGCCTCGTAATCTAGCTGTTTTTTCGCTACGTTTCTTTCTCCTTTTAATTATCATTTTGTTTTCAATTGTAATTTTTATTTTTTTTTTAATTAAAAAACTTAAATTTGTATGAATCATTTGTGAATGTCTATTGGTGTCGTTGTTATCCACTATTGTAATTACTCTTTGTTAAAATCCAGGTCTCTCTTGTAATTGAGTCCTTGTGGCTCAAAGACTAACTTGTTTAAATAAAAGTTGAATGAATGAAAAAAAAACCTGTAAGTGGCAAAACAGTAGCGACGGCTTGGTTATTGTCGCAAAACACTAGCTAAATGTATCAAAAAGCTAAATAAACGCTAAAAGCAGCAAAATTATAGCTAATGAAAAAATAGCAGAATGGTAACGAAAAGCTGGAAGTAGCCAAAAATACAAAAAAGAGCACGTTTAAAGCAGATTTAAAATAAAAAATTTTGAAGGTATTGAAAAGATCGTATTGTATTTTTGGGTGAAAATATCTGTAAATTAAGTTGAACATTTTAATAAATATAAAGATAAAAAAAAACCTGATGAGCTGAGTGTTTTGATGAACGAGAGCACAAAGTATGCAGAGGTGTTCGTGTGCTTTTGGTCTGACCTGTGTTGGCGCTAGTGGCCAGGCGGCTCTGATACAAACACTGCAGGAGGAGCCATCCCACTCTGCGACTCGGCCAACCACGGACCACCCCAGCTATGACATCATTGAGGCTGAGGAGGGGAACTCTGCCCCGAGAGGTCAGGTATGCCAGGACAAAGCAGGCCTTCTCCATGTTAGCCTGGACGTTACACAGCAAAGTCAAATTTAGGCCAGTCCAATGGCTTTTATTTAAATTATTTCAGTTATTCAGTCAATATAGTTTATGTAGCAACAAAGTGATTATAAAAAGGTTTTCAATGTAAACAGCTTCAGTAGTAAAGGTAATTTTATCAGTATTAAAAGCAGTTCCACAACATTGTACCTCAGAAACCCGAGTGATCCTGTCGATCTCAGTATCAGACAGCTCCGACAGGCACTTGGAGACACCCTCATACAAATCCACTTCAGTATCCTGCAACACATCTGGAATCAGCTGCAAACCTTCCACCAAACGGACTGAATACAGCTGGTAACTGTACTAAAGCTGTTGTGACACTTCACCAGTAAAAGAAATAAACTCAAACTATTTTTTATTCAGTGCATGTTTACCTCTTTTAAGAGTATACACTCAGTTACAATTTTTAATTATATATACTTTTTAAAAGTTCAACTTTTCTATCACAGGCTGACAACATGTTTTTTTTATCTTTAATTTAGTAACTTTCCAGCTTCTTGTTATTAACATTTTGCTAGCTGAAGTACTACTACCATACTTTTCCATTCATACTTGATGACAAACCCATGCAGAAGTAGAGGAAACTTGACTGTGTACCTTAGAATTTGACGTCTTGTATATTCCATCATTTTCATGCAGGAAAAAAGTGTTTGTATTCTAACACCCTCGTACCATCCCCAGTTATACGTGTACGAGTGTATGTATGTATGTAAGTAAGCGTGTTTGTATGCATGTATGCAAGCATGTATCTATATTGTATATATATATATATATATATATATATATATACTGTATATAAAGTAGTTCCTCGTTTATCGTCGGAGTTTCCGTTCTCACCACCCCACCCCACCCCACGCGTGTGAAAAAACGCGAAGTAGGAATAGTAGTACAAGTAGTAAGTACCGTATTTTCTGCCTTAAACGTCACTCCGCTCTATAAGTCGCAACAATCCAAATATGTCTAATAAAGTGGAAAAATCCATAAATACATTGTTTCACCGTATACGTCACATCTATTACGCGTCACCACTGACAACCCGGAAATGTGGGCCGGTGTTGTGCCAAAAATCAACAGGCTGCCAAATGGTGGCCGTGGGAGCATGCATGGGAGGACTTTAACAAGATTAACACTTAAAAACTTTATTTCAAAAGTACTCGCTGCCTCGGTGCTCCAGGAGTGAGCAGAGAGAGGAAAAATGGAAGGAGGAACACTGTGCATTTCTTAGAAATTTAACAAGATAAGCACCTAAAACAATTGTTTGTTTGGCATTATAGTAAAAGTGTGTCTCAGATGAACTTTTACTTAATAAATGCACTTTAATGATCAAATTAGCTGCATTTTGCCAGGGCAGCACAACAAAATGAAGCTAATTTGACTGTTGCTCCAAGAGAGCTGGAAAATGGTGGTTTACTCTGACAAGCCGATTGGGTCATTAATAGCCACTTTTATCTATTCCATGATACAACGGCATGCCATACACCTCTGGCACCATGTAGCAGCTGGAAATGGTAGTGTTCAATATTGTCAGTGAGAATGGATGAAAATAGTCATATCTCAGCCAAATATTGGTTTATAAATATGGGAAAAAATCCATAAAAACGTCGCTTCGGCATATAAGTCGCAGGACATGAAAATTATACAAAAAGCACGACTTATAGGGCAAAAAATAAGGTAGAAGTTTATTTTAGTATTCATATATATATATATATATATATATATATATATATGCGTTTTAAACCCTTCCCACACTCTTGCAATATTCTAAACAATTCTAAACTCTGAACTCTCTAAAAGAGCACAGCATGTCATGATCTCCGCTCTCTGCCTCCGGCTGCACTCTGCCACCTCCAAGCGCTCTTGGCCACGTCCACTTCTCTGCTGCACAGCTGAGATGACACAATACAAGAGGGAGCTTCTCCCTGCACATGTGGACTGCACACAGGTGCAGGGGGTGCTAAATAATTAAAAATAATTTATTTTAAATAAAAAATCCATGCCGATCGGGTGGCTCATCCATCAGTCAGCCAGTTGTGTTTCATGTCCAATCTTACTTTGACAAACCGTGATAGAGTGAGTCCGCTAAGTTGAACCCAAAGTAGCGAGGGACTACTGTATATACTGTATACCATCAGTGGTTCATCATATTAACTATCAGTGAATGAAATTAGCTGTGGATGTGTGTAAAGTGCACCTGGATCTGGTTGGGTAGGAGGCTGAAGATCTTTTCAGCAGTGGAGCAGAGGATGGTCCAACAGTGATTTGGGGGGTTTGGGAGGGCCATTGCCTGAGCAAGGCCCTGCAGCAAAGAGCGGCACAGAGACAGTCGCTGGGGTCGGAGGTCATCCTGGAACTGCTGCAGGCCCACAGTCTCCACATACACCTGGAGCTTGTCCTCAGCCACATGCTTCATCCACAGGCCCAGGGTCTCGTACAGGTGGGCTCGGGTCTGGAGCTGCAGAGAAAGTGCTGGTAAGGATCTGTATGGTCAGAGTCAATGTTTGACCAATAACTCCATTATTTTTCAACATAAGACAAACTACGGGTGAAACTGTCATTAAACACAGGAAGCAATACGCATTCCTTTAAGAAATGTTAGGCCTTTAAAATCTTTGTTTGTTGGATTATTTAATAGATTTAAATTTAGATTTGAATAGATTATTGAATAAATTTTAACTTCTCTTCCTGATTTTGGTGAAGGCCAATACTTTTTATTTCCCTCCTACTCCTTTCTGTATCTTCTATCTATCCCCTGCTTCTGCTCTTTGTCCTGTGAACCTTCAGAGCCTCTAGTTGCATATTTTCCAAATTGTACATAATGGATCTGATCAGCTGGTTTCTCAACGCAATTGATCCAATTTTCACGATAAGACAGGGCGAAGAAGAGCCCTCCTGCCCTGATGGGACACTCGCAGCTGGATACACAACGGATTCCTGGGGGCAGTGGAAGGTCATGTGTCTGTCCATATTGTCGGTCAAGGACATTGAAGATGCTTTCATAATTGGATTTATGATAACAAAATTTCTACTTTTTGGAGTTGGTGGTTACCTGGAATATCAACAAATTCGTAAAACATTGGCAGCTGTTCTGGCCATTGTGAAGCTGCCTGGACTGTGAGGGGGTGTGCCGTGCTGTGAACACTCAGACATGCTGTGTGATTCTTGCTGAGAAGCGCAGGCTATTTGCGGCTCCAGAATCTCACTGGTGGGAAGGAATCGATCTTGGAAAAGTTACAAGCTCAGGTCAGTGAAATTGACAACAAATTTGGCTGTTTGGAGTCACTATTGAGATGTACCAGCAGATTGTAAGGTAGACGGAAACTAACGGAGTCGGCCTGACCCAAAACAACTGTTGTTATCTGAATCTGACCTGTGTCGGCCTTGGAAGCTGACTATCTCAAATTCTGCATGTTATGTGAACAAGATGCTCTGCTTTAGCACAGGGGTGTCAAACTCATTTACACAAGGGGGCCACAATTAAAATTTTTTTCAAACTAAGGGCCAGTTTCAAAATCTACATTAACTCAAGTTAGATACCCAACATCTTTTCTTGGTTGCAGGTTCTTCAAGAAGAGTTTGATTGGTCTCATTTGATGTTCTCAGTTGCACTTTTGACATCTAATCAAAGATTACTGAAAAAATTCAAGTGATAAATGTATTTTACGTTTAAAATAACATCTTGGGGGCCAGATAAGATGTCAACGAGGGCCACATTTGGCCCCCGGACCTTGAGTTTGACACATGTACCCTACCTGTTCCCTTCCCCAAGGACATCTGTGGACCTGTGTCAGAGCTCCACAGAGGCCGGCTGATAAATGCACCATCACTTATCATTGGCTATATAACTGGGGGGGCTACCTGGGACAGTGTTCACAGACTTACTTACAAATGCCCACATGCATACACCCACTTGCACAGCTATAAACACACTCCCCTCAACTCACTGCCTTCGCTGGCCTCTTGTCAGGGACACAGTGTGAGATATGATTTTTTTACCTCCTCTTTCCTTGTGGTTCCCTTTTCCTTATCTAATGGAAAGGGCAGTGCCTCCCATGAAGCTGCAGCCTCAGGCACCTGTCTACCCAAGTCTTATGTTGTGTCTTTTTGTTTGTTTGCACAGCTGTTCTGAAATTAAATTTTGCTGTATTTCTTGTGCAATGACAATAAAAAGCATTTTGATTCTGATCTATCTTGTTTTTAGTCAACTTTTGGTTAATTCTAGTAAACTTGGTGGGGGTGGTGGGGGGGGGGGGGGGGGTCGGACTTTAAAAATTCTGTATTTCACTGTCATTTTATCAACAATGTTGGATTTTTCTTTGATGTATCCTTTCAAGTGTTCATTTTCTGTAATCTTGTGTTCTTGCTGATGCCTCCATTGCTAACTCGTTCACAAAATCTTGCATTTCAGATATTTGGTTGGACTTTATAACATAAAGGCGAGCTGCACTAATTGAGTCTTTAATCTAAACCAGAGCTTTGACTGACCACCTGTAGAGCAAATTGTTCCAGCTGGTCTGAGTTATCTGCCAAAAACATCTCGTTTGTGACATGAAAAGCCATTTTTAATCAATCTGTTTGTCCATCCATCCACTGGCAACACATCCAGGAGTAAAACAAACCTTACTCTCCCCAGAAAGTCTCCAGCTCCTCCTCAGGGATTCCAAGGTGTTCCTGGACCTGAGGATATACGTATAAGCCCTCCAGAGAGTTCTGGGTCTGCCCCTGGGTCTTCTCTAAAGCCATCGTGTCTAGAAAGCCATCATTGGAAGGGGTCCAGAAGTTATCCTAATCAGATCCCTGATCCACCTCAGCTGGCTCCCTTCAATGTGAAGGAGCAGCAGCTCTAATTCGAGCTCCTTCGGGTGGATCTTTCCGAGGATCAGCCACCATGTGGAGAAGTTCATTTTAGCAGCTTGAATCCAGAATTTTGTTCTTTCAGTCATGATCCATATCACATGAGTATAGGTGAGGGCTGAAATGTAGACTGACCAGAAAATCATGAACTTTGTTGTTCAGCTCATTCTTCATCTCAATTCAAGAGGAGAGATTCTGTGTAGAAGAAAGGAGGCAGGTTTTTGTTTGTCTGAGGCAGCCCAGAGTGACAGGTCCTGGTGAGTGGAGAGAGCAACTTTATCCACCACAAGGAGCAATGATGGAGTCAGGGGGTGGCCAATGGTGGCCATGGCCCCCATAAATTAATCTTCAGCCACTCAAATTACTTGAAGAAAGTATACTTTTAAGAAATACTAAAAATTAGAATGTATCATTTTCGCAGTTGATAAAGGTGGCTGGTTTACAAATACATATGGTGGTGGCTTTCTTGGATTTTGACTTGGAAACCCAATTTTTTTCTGGTGACCTTTCTTATGCCTAGATGCAGCCATACACATTTACGTTTGAAGTGATCCAGCTCGCAAGATGGACAGATGGCTATTTACAGTGTGTGTGTGTATATATATATATATATATATATATATCTGCCTACAACACCACAATCCCCCACATATATATATATATAT